CATACATACATACATACATACATACATACATACATACATACATACATACATACATCCGCAAATACACTCATAAATACACAATATTACACAAGTACAGAACAATTTACAGCCATGCCATTGCCGGTCGCCACCGTGGAGCGCCCTGTATTTTGAGCTAGGGTTGTCGTGTCTTGCTCAAGGACACACCCAGTGACCTCCCATCCAAACCCCGTGTATTCAAAGCAACTGGCTGGTGAAAGGCAAAGATTTGTTCGTTTTTTGGCTCTCCTGAACAGTTTACGAGATTGGATATACTGTCTTTAAACATAAAACTCCAGCATTACACAACTCAAGAGGTGCTTGAATGAAAGACGTGGGGCAGGAGAGTCAGAGGAAGGCAAAGAATAACATGGATGGACAACATAAGAACATAGACTAGACTGGAATAATGGAGGATCATTACACGTCAACCTCTGAGTCAGAGATGGCAGCTCCAGGTATCCAGCTATCCAGAAGTGAAGAAAAGTCAGTTTTAGTTCTAGTAAAGGTTTTACGGCGCTCGCAACTGCATAAAGTCATATGACCGAAAAGGGGTGGATGTCAACAAAGACGGGGAATCAGGCTTACTCTTCTCACCTCTCTAGCCTCAACAGCACAAAGTCTGCTTCGACTATCAAGGCACCCCGGAAAAAGCAGTTCACAAGAGAGTGACAAACATACAAAAGAAGTAGAGGAGAAATGACGATAGTAAGGATGAGGAAAGAAAAAGCAGCAGTTCCCCCTATGTTGTTCCGGGACTGTTATGAGCATGACATTGATAAATCAGCCAATCACAATTCTACTGTGCATAAGAACATGTTAATGTCCCCCCTTTGGGAATGGCCTAAAGACACATCAGTCAGTAGCACTGCCTTGGTTGGTTTTTTTGTTTTGTTTTTTTGGGGGGGAGGAGACGAAAAGTGAGTGTGGGAGATTGGTGTTGGAGAGTAAATGACGCAGGGGCGGCACAGTTCGTATTTCTTGGTGTGTGTGAACACATCCTACTTTTCTTCTTCTTTTCTTCTCTTGTCGGTGATCGTTTCTCCTCCTCTCTTTCCCTCTCCCCGTCCTTCATCTCTCTATCTATCACGATCTCTCTCTCTCCCTCTCTCTCCCCCCCTCTCTCTCTCTCTCTCTCTCTCTCTCTCTCTCTCTCTCTCTGTCTTCATCCCTACCA